TGGGCTTGCAAAACATGATTTTTGGTAAATATTTTTTTTTTCCTCGGTTGTTTGTTGGGCGATCTCATTGAAACTTGGGCAATGTATGATGGAAAGATGCTTTTTAATGTACAACAAAAATAAAAAAGACGGACGATAAATAAGGGAGTTCATTCTCAGCCACTAGCCGCCTCTTTGCAGTATATTTTCGTATGGTTTTTATGGTTGTATTCTCATTTTGTTGGACTCATTTGATAGAATGGAATATATATTACAGAAATAGACATGATTTTGATTGCTTTCATGACGAAAAGTACCTTGAAATTGAGCTCAAAGTAGCAGAAATATTCGATTTTTGCCGATGTTCAATGAACTTTGTGTAAGTCAAGTTGGTAAATTTTATTAAGTGTATTCTAACCTAACCACTCTGTAATCCGGCAAACTCAGTAATCCGGCACACTACAGGTCCCAATGATGCCGGATTTGTGAGGGAGGACCTGTATCAGTCAGCAAGAGGAAACTGCACTGGGCTTCAAGACAGCAAAGGATCGCTTCACCTTGGTTGAAGCATGACTTCATTCCTGAAGTCAAGTTTTACCTGCACAGCAAGAACCTTGCATTCAAGGCTCTCTTCATTCTTGATAATTCCTGTACTCATCCACAAGCTTTGCTGGATGTGACCCCACATGTAAAAGTTGTATTTTTACCTCCAAATAAAACATCTCTAATACAACCATCGGATTGGGGAGTTAAGCCATTCAAGTGTAACTACACAAAAAAAAAAGTTATGAAAAAACTAGTTGCATCAGTGGACTCTGCCTCCAACCTGGCAGTACCAAGTTTCTGGAATAAATTTAACATTGCAGATGCCATCAGCTATGCTAGAAGTGCATGGAATGAAGTGCCCCAATCAACATTAAATGCAGGCTGAGGAAAGTTATGGTCTTCTGTAGTTAATTCTTTCACTGGTTTTCTCTTGCTTGAGAGTCAGGTTCAGGAAACTGTTCAGCTGGCAAGGAGATTACCAGGTGATGGTTTTGAAGATATGAATGAAGATGTGAATGAGCTCTTAGATGATGATGATGATGAAGCCAGGAGTCCAGAGGAAATGTTGGCAGAGCTCGATGCACAAATACAAGGGAGCCACATAACAAAAGAAGATGAAGAAGAACCTGAAGAAGAACAGTTAACATTGCAGCAGTTGCGTGAGCAGCTCCATATAACTAGTAAAGTTGCAGACTTTTTCAGTGAAGAGGACCCTGACAAATCTAGAAGCCGTGCTTTGAAACAGGGTCTAGACCCGCTGATGATGGCTTAACGTTAGCTGTATAATGTACCGCAGGGGAAAAGACCCCAGAGATCCGTTACAGAATTTATGCACACTCCAATACAACCATCGACTTCAGTACCAGAACCTCTAACATCCACTTCTGCCAACAACCAACAACTATCCACCTCAGCCCAGTAGGAACACACTATGCATATCCACTCTCTTCACAATCATCCACAAACACCATTACCCATAATTTAAGGTAAGAAATACTATTAATTCTATCGCATTTGTAGTCTTAAGTAGTAATATATCATGACAATGAACTACAACTACATATTCACTTTTATTTTTGTAAGATCTGTTGGTCTAAAAAAAGGTCTGGGTTTTTTGGGGCTCCCAGGAACATAACCCTATTTTTCCCATAAGTTCTTCAGTTCATTTAATACGATTTTACCTAACACAGAGTTTTCAATAACATAACTACCATGTTAATTGAAAGTGTAGTGAAGATGAGAAAGAGGAGTGGGCCTAGGACACTACCCTGGGGCACTCCGACAGCTACAGGCTGGATAGCGGAGTTGACTCCATTTGCATATACGTAATGGTGTGTCATTTAGATAAGAATTTAGGTAATCAAGGGAATGTCCTTTGATGCTATAATGATTTAGTTTCAGGTGTAGGAGATTGTGGTTGACTGTATCAAATGTTTTTCGCAGGTCAATAAAGAGCCCTAGAGGATATTCATTTTTATCGAGAGCTGTATATATTAGTTCAAGCGTTTGTATAATAGCATCACTTGTACTTTTTTTTGGTTTAAACCCAAACTGGTAGGGGGTTAAGTATGTTGTTGGATATAAGGTAGGAGTAACAGCATTTGTGTATTATTTTTTTGAATATCTTAGAAAGTAAGGGCAAGTTCGATATGGGTCTATAGTTGTTCAAGTCAGTTGGATCACCTCCTTTGAGGGTTGGGGTAACCCATGCTGTCTTGAGTATAGATGGGAAGATTGAAGATGCTACAGATTTGTTAAACATTGTTACAATAATGGGTGGCAGCACATGTGCAGCTTTTTGATATATGAATGGTGGCAAGTTATCTAGATCTGATTTGTTTTTAATGATTTAACCCTTTGAGGGTCGACAGGCCCTCTCCGAAACTCGTTCTCAGGGTCGGCCAAATTTAAAAAAAAAAAAAATTATTTTCTCTTATGAAAAGATAGAGAATCTTTTCCCGATCATAACGACACCAAAAGTTTGAAATTTGATAGAAAACTTACGGAATTATGCTCTCGCAAAGTTAGCGGTCTCGGCGATGTTTACGGATCGGCGATTTTGCCCACTTTGAGCCCCATTTTCGGCCAATTTCACTGTACTAGTCGACAAAAAACATGAATATTTCGCTAGAACTCCATTTTTTCTATCGAATGGGTGCAAGAAACCACCCATTTATAAATTCAACTATCCAGTACAGTGGTCAGAATTTAGCAATTTTGCCAATTTCACACAAATTTCAAAAGATGCCAATTTCGGAATAGGGTCCAGAATAAACAAGAAAGACATTCCTGGCACTAAAATGACATTTCCTCTAGTCATTAGTCACGTCTCAAGGCCCCTCTTATATTCTTTTGCTTTCCACTTTGAATTTTTATTCTCACAAAAAATATAAGATTTACTGTTATGCAGACTACTGCATTAGTGTAAAAAATGGTATAAATATTATTGGTGCACTTGTGAAAGAATATTAGACTCACCAGTTGACGTGTATTGCACGCTTGGCACGATTTGTTTACTTTTGAAGTTTGGTAAAAATCGAACATTTCTGCTACTTTGAGCTCAATTTCAAGGCACCTTTCATTGTAAAACCAGTCAAAATCATCTCAATTTCAGTAATATGTCTTCCATTCTATAAAATGAGACCAAGAAAACTAGAATACAACAATAAATACTATACGAAAATACACTGCAAAGTCGCTGATTTATTAAAAAAAATGGAAAAAGTTTTTTTTTTCTCATTATGCACCGTGTGCTGCAGGATTTTTTTTAGACTGTGCACACTGACCACATAGACCCATTCTTTCATATGAAGGCCTACCAGCTTTCTCCCACTAGATTTGAGGTCGCTAGAATTTATGAGTACTAGTACGTCAAAAACCCCTACGCGTAAGACGTACTAGTACGACGAAAACCCTCAAAGGGTTAATGATGAGTAAGACTTCAGTAGAATTAGTTCGAGCTAGAGATAGAGTATTTGGGTAGTTGCCAGTGAGGTAGTCATTCGGATGGGTAAATCCAATTAATCCGTTCCAGTCATCCAAAAATATTAACAAAAAATACAATTTATAGAAAATTACTAGTTTTACATACAGAAAACAATGAGAAATAAATATAAAGCACTAATGACAGATAAATGAACATTAAAATAACATTTACCTTTATTGGTGTATGGAAGATGGCAAGGAGGGGAGAGGGAGGAGAGTTTATTGTTTGGAAGGGGAATCCTCTTCCAAAAGGACGTTTTGTCCGAACTTGCACACTCGCCATGCCTTAACACACTGTGTATGCCAGATCACTTCCTGAATTTGTCGAACCAGCCTCTGATGGCCTTAGATTCACTAACAACAGCACTCATTCCAGGCATTTTCTTTGCAAGATCCGCATGCAACTGCTTTGCCTTTATTGCAAATTATCGCCTCCACAACACTATCTCCCGCTAAGTGTTTTTCGTTGATCTACACCAACAACAACTTCTCAGCACCTTCGATTGTTTGCGATATCAGTTTCGTTAGAACATTTACCCCTTTCCCAACATCAGATTCCTTTATTTTTTTTTCTTCAACTTCCCATACATCCTGGCAAGATCGACCACACATACACAATTTTCATGCTTTGCTACCAGTTCTTTCTTGAATTCTGTTGTGTTTCTCGCCTTCTTTATCAAAGGGCTGGCGCTCGGAACTTTCTTTGGCCCCATGGTGGCTTATTTAGCAGTAGCGCTCAATAAACAAGCACAAAAAACAATGAATTATTACAAAATGTTTTGTATGAATGCACAAGGTAATATTCACTTGATGAGAAACAAAGCCAGACTGACTCAGAACACGTGTGTGGGATGCTTTGTGTGGGCCTGGGCAGGCGGTACGGTGGATGAAAATCTAGGTGATGAACAAAAACTGGGACAAAATTTTGACGAAAACAGTCGTCAAAAACCGAATTCGATGAAAACCAGGGCAAACGATAACCGAGGTTCCACCGTATTATAATTGTTTCAGAGTATAATATTCCTCAAAACGTGGAAATAAGTCATGTTGTTTGACTTTACTGGGCTAGATATACGTACTTAGTGTTTAGTGGCTGAATTCCACTCTTAGCATCATGGAACTGCAATAAATCTGGAATGACTAAGTCATCTTCATACCACTTCCACACCCTGTTTGCTGGTATGGAAGCAGGCAGTGAAACAACAGCTCCTGGTTTCACTGTTTACTTTTACTAGTTTGGCATACTAGTACATTGGATACAGTCATCACTTGTGTAGTTAACCATGATGCAGTGTGTGGAACCTCCTCGGCTTATATTCTTTCAAAAGTATGAATAAATTGAAGACAGCCCAAAGGGATGTGCTCAGGTAAAAAAAATATTGACAGGTGGAAGATTTTAAGGTACGAAAACTGTGCACACTAGTACGTCGGACACAGTTTATGGGTGAACCACAACTCGACGCAAGGTATACTATATATAAGTGCCTTACTTTTCCTTGAGTTCTTCTGCTGAGCCCTTATCAGGAAAAAGAGCTGACACAGCTTGAAATATGGCAGCACATGGGAAGTCTTTTGTCCCTGATGTGTTTGATCCCTCCCAACCATCATCCTGGAAACAAAATATTTTTATTTTAGTATTCCAATAAAGATGGTCACACGTGATTAAATATTTTATAATTAAAGCAGATTGACACATTAAGGAATTATGGTAAATGCTTTAAGTATGAAGACAGAATACTAATATCCATTTTGTGTTGAAAATGGAATAAAATACCGACAAGCTGAAATCAATACACACGGAACAGTTTATTATCTTTATTTCATTACTACACCTGCTCCCTCTCTAGTTGACTAAAGAAACCTACTGAGCAGGTGAAATGTTTCATCATTAAAGATACCCAACTTATCAATATTTTATACCAACAAGCAAATGCAAAAAACTTTTAAAGTCTAACACTGACAGGAATCTAAAATGACTGGAAATATTACAATTCCACAAGAGGCACTATCTCAAGAAATAAGTATTCCTAGGGACATAAAAGAAGAAACAGACACTTACAATGAAATAGGCATTTGAAGCAAAACTGATCCCCACCCTACCTCTTTATTACGTGTATTATTTTCCTCGTCATCATCTTGTTCCTCCTCTTCCTCCTCCTCCTCTTCCTCTTCTTCATCTTCATCTTCTTCATCTTTTGTTTTGGTTTCCTTCCTTACACTGGCCTTTTTATCTAACTTATCTTTTCCAATATCTTTTTTCTGTAAAAAAAAATTTTTTTTTTAGTTTAGTTAATATTCTTGCCTTAATTAATTGTTTTTTGTCAATTTTGGACAGACAGTTTTCTGGGTAGTGGCCTGATCAACCATGACATTAAAATCTGACAATTAATGGAGCATCTAGGTAGTAGGTTGGTAGACAGCAACCGCCCAGGGAGTTACTACCGTCCTGCCAAGTGAGTGTAAAACGGAAGCCTGTAATTGTTTTACATGATGGTAGGATTGCTGGTGTCTTTTTGTTTTGTCTCATACACATGCAAGATTTCAGGCACATCTTGCTACTTCTACTTACACTTAGGTCACACTACACATACATGTACAAGCATATATATACACACCCCTCTGGGTTTTCTTCTATTTTCTTTCTAGTTCTTGTTCTTGTTTATTTCCTGTTACCTCCATGGGGTAGTGGAACAGAATTCTTCCTCCGTAAGCCATGTGTGTTGTAAGAGGCGACTAAAATGCCGGGAGCAAGGGGCTAGTAACCTCTTCTCCAGTATATATTACTAAATGTAAAAGGAGAAACTTTTGTTTTTCCTTTTGGGCCGCCCAGCCTCAGTGGGATATGGCCGGTGTGTTGAAAGAAAGAATTAATGGAGCAATGTGGGGGAAGAATTTCATGGGAATCAATTCTACTGATGCCCCAACAGCTTTTCGTTATGTAATTGCCAGCGACAATAAATGGCCACAATAACATCAACCTTCATACTCCTCCACTTAGTTTCCACCCACACAAACAAAGTATGTCCACAATTTAGTAAACCCTCCACATAATGGAAAAACAGGGAGAAGCAAATAGTAGTAATGGCAATTGTAGTGGACAGACAAGAGATTGTTTCGCCATGACTGGAACAATAACACACTTTGTTCATGGTTTCCAAATCAACTGACCCAGTGGATTTCATTTAATTTTTCTGCAGTCTGTTATAGAGAAGTCCATTATACAGAGGTTTACAGCATACTACTATCTTCTGAACACAATAACAAGACAAACTATAACATTTTAACAGTCACAGTGCCATTTTCCTTAACAAGTCACCTTTTTTTTCATAGGGTATCCAAAGTGCACCAATAATTTATAACTATATTAACAGGAAATACACTAGAATTTAAATTATATAATAAATATGTTTCAACCAGTGCATGCAATCATGTACGGCAGGCTGGGTTCCAGACTACCGCCGTAAAGCAGAACACCCATTTTCTCCACTTACAAATGCATATAAATGCCAGATAACAAGTTTACACTAACATGTATTAACCCTTTCAGAGTTTTAGACGTACTAATACGTCTTGAACATGACTCACGAAATCGTAATGACACGATTGCAAACAAACCATACCACGGGCGGGATTTGAACCCGCGATCAGAGTCTCAAAACTCCAGACCATCGCGTTAGCCACTGGACCAACTAGCCACAATAAGATTCATCCAGCTAGGTATATTTCTACACTATAGGAAGGTTAGCATAGGCACCACTGTGACCACAAATGCAGGTTTTTACTTGCATACCACGGGCGGGTTCAAATCCTGCCTGTGGTATGGTTTGTTTGCAATCGTGTCATTACGATTTCGTGAGTAATGTTAACGGCTTTGAGGGCACTTGAGCTAGAGTTCGTCACGGCCATGCTAGCTGGACATTCGTCTATAAAAACTTGCATTTGTGGTCACAGTGGTGCCTATGCTAACCTTCCTATGGTGTAGAAATATACCTAGTTGGACGAATCTTATTGTGGCTAGCTGGTCCAGTGGCTAATGCGACGGTCTGGAGTTTTGAGACTCTCTGACCGCGGGTTCAAATCCCGCCCGTGGTATGGTTTAATATGTCTTATGCGGCAGGGTTATTGATGTACTAGTCCGCCTAAATTCTAGCATCCTCAAATCAAGCAGGAAAAGGCTGGTAGGCCTAGATGTGAGAGAATTGGTCTCCATAGCCAGTGTGTGCTGTACAAAAAAAAAAATTGGGGACCCAGTGGTGCATTGTGGGAAAGCCATTTTATTACACCTTGTTCACCATGTCTAGCACTAAGAAACTCCTCACTCCTCAGCTAATTGGGGCTCTTTTGTTCCCAAGTGACAGTTCAAACACAGACGGAAGTGTCAGTGAACATGAATTTCAAAGTTTTGAAGAGTTTGTGACCAAAAGCAATGCCCAGGAAACCAGAAGGAAGGAAGGAAGGAGGGTAGGTAGGTAGGTAGGAAGGAAGGAAGGAAGGATAACTTCTTCTCCAGGTGTTGGCACCTGGAGAAGAAGTTGATATCCTTGGGGTGAAATTTGACTCCAAACTAACCATGAAGAACCATGTTGTAAATCTTGCAAACAAGGCAGCCAGGAAGCTTACAGCACTTCGCCGTATCTCGCATCTGCTTGACAGTAGGGGTTGCAAGATCCTGTACGAGGCACAAGTACGCTCACACCTTGAGTATGCTCCACTTTCTTGGTTTGCCTGCCCCCCCTCTCATCTGTGACTGCTTGACAGAGTAGAGAACAGAGCAAGACGTCTCATCTCTCGCCTGGACCCATCCTGGATAGATCTGTCATTTCAGCAGAGCCTTCAAGATAGGAGGGATGTGGGTGGCCTTACTGTTATGTACAAGGCCAATATTGTCAAAGTACCACACTTGGATCCACTTCGAGGACAGCGTGAAACAAGCTTTTATGCCACAAGACGGGCAGAAAGCAGCAACTTCACTCTGGCTGTACCCTTCTCCAGAACATCGCTCCTCTGGGTCTAATACCCCGGATGACTCGAGTATGGGAACACATTGTACAGCTAATGATGTCAAGAGATAAAATCAGTTATCAAATGGAAAAAAGCTGGCCCACAGATGGCTCCAAAATTCATCCCGTTCCCTACTTGTATGTCTCTAACAAAAAAATGCTTTCAAAAAAGGGTGTGTAGGGAACAGCTTTAGCTTTAAAATAAAGTTAGGAATCCTTAACCTGTAAATAGTTGCAATAAAGTAGGATCCTTACCTTGCAACCCCGTGTAAAAAAAAAATGTGGTTGGGGGGGTGGGGGAAAGGGATTGGTTTGAAGGCAGTGAGGGTGGCGGTGAGATGGGGAGATGGGCAAATTAAAGGGGACCGCAATTTAAATCCCCCCCACAAAACAACTTTCGACTTAACATGCTGTACGCTTGGGGAGGTCCGTGTTTAGGGTGTTTTGAATTTGCGGGGTTTTGGGTTGGGTCCTGCCCAAGCGAACAAAGTTTTAAAGGGGGTAGGGGTTTCAGGGGGGGAAAAAAAGGGGGGTTTTGGGTTTGGAGGTTTGGCAAAAAAAGGGGGTAGCGTTGTTTTGGTTTGGGGGAAAAGGTTGGGGTTTAAGTTATGTGGTTGGGTTTTTTGGAGGTGGGGGGTTTTAAAAGTTTTTTGTGGGAAGGGGGAAAAGGGGGGGAGGAGAGTTTTGGGGGTTTTTTAGGTGTAAGGGCCTTTTCCGTGGGGTTTGTGGTTTAGGGGTTTGAATCTGTGGGAAACTTTTGGGTGGGTAGGTAAGTTTGGGGGCCCGGTGTTGTTGGGGCCCGTTTTTTTGTAGGGGGTTTTAGTTTTTGGTTTTATTTAAAAAAAGGGGGCCGTATGTGTAGGGGCCCCCAAAGCGTGTTTGTTGGGGTTTGTTTGGGAGTAAAAAAAATGTTAGTGATTAGGGTAATGTTTATAGAGGGGAGTTTAGACATTTTTGGTGCTCTAGGTTGGGGGGTGGGATACAAGGGTGAAGCTGGGAAAGAAGAGGTGGTTTATAAACTGGGAAGGGTTAGGGGTAAGTTAAAGCTATTAGGGAAAAATGGGGAAGAGAAAAGGCTGGGGTCGGGGTTGGGGGGTTTTTGTGTGTTAGAGTGTTTTGCGGGTTTTGGTTCAGGGGGTGGGCAGGAGGGGGAAAAAGGTTGGGGAAAGATGGGAAAAGGGAATGAAGTATGGGAGAAAAAAGTTAGCATATAGAATTTTTTACAAAGTAGAAGTGATGAAGGAGGAAAAAGTATATGGAGAAAAAGAGAGAAAATTAAGAGATTGGTTAAGCAATGTAAAAAAAGCAAATGAGAGATTTTGGGGGAGATGTTATCAACAAATTTTTTTGAAAATAAAAAAAGTTTTGGAGTGAGATTAAAAAGTTAAGAAAACCCGAGAAAAAATGGATTTGTCATTAAAAAAAATGGGGGAGGAGGGGGTTATTAATGGGGAGGTAAGGGATTGGGAAAATGGAAGGAATATTTTTTAGGAATTGTTAAATGTTGATGAAAATAGGGAAGCTGTGATTTGTTTTAGGGGAAGGGGGAATAACATCTTGTAGGAGTGGGAAGGCCAGTTGTGAGTGGGGGGAAGTTCGTGAGGCAGTAGGGAAAAAGAAAGGGGGGGAAAAGGGAGCCGGGATGATGGGAAAAGATAGAAAAAGTTAAAAACAGGTGGGGGTATGTTTTGGAGTGGTTGGTGCAATTATTTAATAAATGTATGGAAGGGGTAAGGTACCTAGGGATTGGCAGAGAGCATGCATAGTTCCTTTGTATAAAGGCAAAGGGGAATAAAAGAGAGTGCAAAAATTATAGGGGGTAAGTCTGTTGAGTGTACCTGGTAAAGTGTATGGTAGAGTTATAATTGAAAGAATTAAGAGTAAGACGGAGAATAGGATAGCAGATGAACAAGGAGGCTTTAGGAAAGGTAGGGGGTGTGTGGACCAGGTGTTTACAGTGAAACATATAAGTGAACAGTATTTAGATAAGGCTAAAGAGGTCTTTGTGGCATTTATGGATTTGGAAAAGGCGTATGACAGGGTGGATAGGGGGGCAATGTGGCAGATGTTGCAAGTGTATGGTGTAGGAGGTAGGTTACTGAAAGCAGTGAGAGTTTTTACGAGGATAGTGAGGCTCAAGTTAGAGTATGTAGGAAAGAGGAAATTTTTTCCCAGTAAAAGTAGGCCTTAGACAAGGATGTGTGATGTCACCGTGGTTGTTTAATATATTTATAGATGGGGTTGTAAGAGAAGTAAATG